ATCGAGTTCAAAATCCAGTTGAAATCTTATCTGATATCAGCAGGACTCATTAAACGCTCTACGAATTTCCAACTGTTTAAACTCAAAAAAATTTGGATTTTATATTTCGTTGCGCACGATTTTCTGATTGCCTTACCGACAAAACAGCTTTAGCCTTGAGTGGAAGCTCGAAAAGGGTGAATCTCATTCTCTTGTTGACTACTCACTATCACATTGAGCATCACAACCGAATCCAATCCGATTTTTCAGTTGAATATTAATATGGAATGACAGTTAATATGGAATGAAAATCCATCAAACACTTTCCACTTCGTCTCTTTGCACAAATTTCATGCATTTTTAATGATATCCATCTTTTTCACACATATAATCAAATCATGATCGTTTGCAAAAGCAGATTAGTAGCAAATTTTTAAATTGATTAATTCTGCAAAATAGAAACCGAACAGATGCACTTTTAAATTTCATAGTATTCATTCTCATAATTCAACACACTTCAAATTTTCTGTTCTAATCTGTAGATTATCTGCAATCCAAGTATTTTTCCTTCTTTTCCGTCTGTTCCATTCACCAGTCATCAATACGACTAGGCGATTAGAATGAATCCAAGAGGTACTATGTAGGAAATTGTTCAATCTAAGGTATAAGTTAATAGAAGTAAAATTATATCGAAAATTCCCGGAGGTTATGATTAAAAGTTGCGAAAGTGCATAAGAGAAAAAGAATATATAAAACTTAACAGTCTCATAAACTGGATTGAAATTTTCGGAGAAAAGAGTTGTTTGCTGTTTTTTTCGAAAAATGTTTGCAATTCCCAGCTCACTGGAACAGGCAAATTGCCGTATGTGGATCAAACTGCTGCAAGATTGACGATTAATTTTTATCGGTTGAAGTCAAAGTTATTGAACAATTTGAAGGCGTCATTATTAACAGTTAATACTCTGGTGCCTTGAAGAAAACAACTAACAGAAAAAGACTTGTGAAACAATCATAATAATATTATGGAAGAGAAAGATGAATTCCAATTTTACATTTTTACGTTTGAACATTTCGTTTACATTTGAACACATTCGTATCCTTACATATATATGCGATCGTCTTATCAAGCTACACATTTGAAATACCATATTAAAATTAGGGATTTCACTAATGGTTCCATTGTTCTACAGGCATTTTTGAGCTGAAGATCGCCACCCAAAGTCCGAAAATGTGCTGAAAACCCGGACAAATATCAGCCCTATGATATGACTATCATAGGTTTAGTAAAGCCAGATTCTAGTGAATTTTGCAACCTTGTATTAAAAGTTGTCAGTTTAGAGTTCTGATTCATGACAGGACTCGTCAATACTGCTATTCTATTTTGATATCTTTGATTATTATTTCTATTACTGTTACTTTTAATATTAATGCTATAACTTTCATTATAATTACTACTATTTTTATTATTTTTACTATTATTACTCTTATAATTATTAGTTTTGTTATTTTAAATGTCATTAGAGATGAATATTGGTTGAGCAACACTCTTAAAAGACAACTTGAAACGATTGAAAATCGGAAAGAGTATCAAAAAATGTCTTCTGAATTCACTGTGTACAATCAGATAAATGACGAAATTAACGATGGCAATCAACGAATTACAGATGATCACGATAACCATTACAATACTGAGTACCAGCTTGGATTGAGCACTGAAAAATGCACCAAAAAGTGCTGATATGGGTAAGCAAATCAAGAAGAAGTAGGCCATAGCGAGCGTGGTTGATGTTGCCATCAAATTACGTTCGACCTTCGTTAGATTACTCTTAGTCCCTTGACCACGAAGTCGTACCAATACAATTACACACGAATAAATTACTGAAATTTTCATCAACATCAACTTCAGTTAGTTGATCTTAATTGGCTTACAATTAGTGGAAAATGAAACGAATGAGTACAATTCTATGGCGTATAATTTTACCTTAGTACTAATTATCTTAGTTTTTAGATATTTTTCACCTCGAATATCAAATTCGACATCATGTAATGAGCGACTAAAAACGTGTTCTCTTCAAAAATTTCGCTTTTTCATTGAATTTGCTCGAAACTGTCCCATTTTTACGCCTAATTAGCATTTCTCATGATGCTATTTTGGATATAATTCAGTTCAGTTAACGTCAAAACGAAATAAACAGCGTGACAAGAAATCCCGCTATGGATCAAATTGAATTGGCGTTGAACACGCCATGCAATCGGACTCTACACATCATGGTGATAATTTCATCTTCTCATGACAAGTCCAAATTAGAAATGAATGCAAATCTATAACACAACATTTTCCTATTCACTCACATCATTGCAGTTATAGGGTTGAATTTTTATGCGTAAGTTTCGTTTCGTATGGAGTAAATGAAGACTTCTTTCGATTTTGAAGGAAACATTTAACGAAAAAGTGAAGAAACGTTCACTTTGAGTGATTCTGATGCAATAGAATTATTGTCACAAGGAGGGTCGTGTCTTTATTAGGATGAAGTGCGAGTGAATGATAGAAACGTACCGCTTGTTATTACGGCTGACGAGAACGAGAACACCAGAAAGTATATCAGATAGGGCTTAGTCCATCTCAATCCTGAACATTCAAATATGATGATGAATGATAGTTGTGAAGTTAGAATGTTCAACTCAATAATCATGAATATTTTCTGGATCGTTGGAGTGAATAATCTTAAAGTATTTCATGACCACGATGAGGATATCACCTTAAGCGTCTAGTTGATCCTTGTTCACTGTTTGATCTTCCTCTTTTGAGAATCGTTTTAATTTCTCTCGAAAAAATTCTTCTCCTTTCATGGAAACAGTTTATTTGATTGTTTGGAGGTACTGCAGTGCTTCGGATAACTTTCCTCATACAAGCCATGTGCAACATTATTGTGAGAGCAAATCTATTTTGATCATTTGCCTTTTCAACAATTGTTGCTGAAGGCAACATTTTCGACAGTGTTCCCGATTTGTCTTCGATCTATCGATTTATAAGCAAAAAGTTACTTACCTGTAATACAATATTCGCTTCTTACACCAAACGGAAAACCAATATACATTCCGACCGTACCAAGGAAAGCCCATAGAGTTGAAATCGTTAAGTAAGTGAAAGAGGTGCGTTTTAAGCCCTGCAACTATGAACCTTCATTTTATCATTTCACGTTATCATTTCACCAGGTGATTATCTCAGTATCTTATCTGGATTCGCCTTCTTCCACTGTGATCTATATGATATGATCACAATGATCACAATTTGATCGAAATCGATTTTTATTTTGAGTTTCTGAAACACTTCAGGTTTCGCAACTGATTTGGATGCTTCTGCAAAACTTTTTGCTTTACTCATCATTTTATGAGTCACTTATCCACATCTATATCCACATATATTATTGCTTGGTGCTTGTTTCTAATGTGATAAGAGGAAATTACAATATTTTGAAATTTTCGTATGCAAATGGCAAAAGCATTCGATTTGTAAATAATATATATTAATCGAATATATATTATTTACAGATCGAATGTAAAATTGAACCTTATTAAATTATGAACTGACCATTTTGCGATATTCCAACGGGAACTTGATACAAAGAAAACGTTCGATAGCTATGAAAAACATTGTCAATCGACTTAAATGTAATGAGAATATCCCTGGCGCACCAATCGACACACACAGTGTGGCATCATACGTGGTCTCGTTTGAACGCTTATGCAGTTCTTGAATTGTTACATGAAGCAACGAGGAAATACCTAAACAAATCTGAAGATTATTGCTGATTCTTTTGNGTAGTGGATATGTAATTGAGCAGCATCTAATAGGAATTAGGAAGCCGCAAAATTGCTAGCAGTGGGCGATAATTTGGTGACTTTTCATTTGACATTCATTTAGTCCTGATCTAATGATCAAGCACGATCTCGTTGATCTTATGAATTCATTCACAAACGGATTCATTTGTAAACGTTTCATTCATCATTACATAACTTCTCAAACAATAAAGCAATACCATTGTCAATTTTTTCACAAGAACAAATGGATCAAAAAAATCACTAGTAGTCAATTCTTCAGAGGCAATAATCTAACAGTTGAGGATAAGCTCTATTTCCAAAAATCGGGCAATAAGCTGTCATGTAAATTCGAGATACCTGCTATGTTATGTAAGTCTGATGAACTGTTATATCTGTTTCTGAGAAAAGTTTGAGAAGTCTCAGAAAACTGTTATGTATGCTGTTGTTGAAGTCTGAGCAACCAGAAAGACAGAAATCTGTCAAGAATGCGCAAAACGATCACCACACAATATTTTGGAACACCAACAACCACTAAAGTCATCACACCTGCTAGAACATCCGCAGAAGCTAGCTGTGCTATCAGACGATTACACGTCTTCGAACGCATCGAACGAAATCGCAAAACGATCACAACAGCGATCGAATTACCGATGATGCTCAGCACGGCTATCGGCATACGTATCAAACACAACGTCGCATAAACTGCTCTGAGCATTGCCGCAACCATTGAGTGCCTGAAAGAGCTCAACGCAATCATTCCAGATAGCTATCCGCTTCAGTGAAATCACGTCTCATTCGAAATTATCAATATTGTCACAAAGTGCGAGTGAGTCATGCTTTCGCAAATTGTTTTATTGTGCTACCTGATCAGATGGACTGATAGCGGTCCGATCCCATCTCAAGAACAGATCGCACAGATTCACAGCAGTCAAAACATCCGTCCCAGTCCACGGGAAAAGGGTGGAATCCGCCGCGATCAAACGGTATAAAAGAGGTCAGCAATCACTGCAGGGTCGTCTTCGATTAATCGTCGGTTGGTTCACGGACCAACAAAACCTCCTGAGGCAATCGACTCAACCAATATATCAAGAGGCAATCACCTCAAAACACTCAATATATTCGGAGGCAATCGCCTCAAATCAACCACCGTTCATCGTCCCGCATTGTGATCCGTTCAATTTCAATCGCATTGTCGTTGTTTTGTTTATTGTATTGTCTGTCTTCGTTCATCCTTCGATTATATTAAGAACCCATCCATCCCGCATTCATACTTCTAGTAAAATACCTAATAGGGTTAGGCTACTAGGTGACCTTATCAAAAAAATTCAAAAACCAGTAAATCCATCACATCGTTCCCTTTTTTTATCAATATTGCACAAATAATGCTAACAGTTTCTCAGGAATATCTCGCGATCAGGCATGAAAATTGAAAACTGCGATGCTGAAACAATAATCGAGGATGGTCAAACGTATATGGCATTTTCAAATTCTGCGAAACTTATCAAACGAAACGCTTCACCACGCCTCAGCAAAATAAAACTGTAAAAATGAATCCTTGAAGAAAAAATTCTCAATTAGATGACTATTGGGCGAAGTGCGTTGTTTTGACAGTATGTCGGATTTTGTTCCGTGTTGCTGCGTAAACATCACCGACAAATTTCATTATAATAGCTGCTTGATTGAAATATATTCATCGAAAATCGCTTGTATGAGCAAATGAACCTAGTTCTTCACATTCGTCAATCACAAACGAGAGTAATTTCAAATCGAATTGTTCAGTTTTGCAGTGTAGAAAATTTGTTGCAAGCACTGTTGCTATTCATATTCACTGTTTGTTTCAGGCAAGTCTTACACTGAAACTGAAAACAATCTCTGGAAACAAT